GTTAAGGCAGACACCAGACTCCTGTGGTTTACCAGGGAGGCTGTTTGCAAATCTAAACCCTGGGGCAAAGCCAGATGCCAAATTGGTGTGGGAAGGATGTTCCCAGGCTCTTGCATCTCTAGGGTCTCCCTTTCCTGGGCACATCCTTCTGCAGTACGGATCTGAGTTAGATAGGGCTTCTCTCTGTGTTTCTCTGCAGGTGGCTTTACAACCTGTTCCACAAGGTTATTGAATCCAAGTTGCGGAAGACTTTAGAGAGCAAGGTAGGTGAGCAGTGGAAAGCAGGGCCCTGGGTTTTCTGGTGGTCTTCAGCCCTCACTTGTAGGTGATATCCTCGAGGGATCAGATATAGAGATGTAACTAGAACCAGAGGACAGCCCTGTACGGTGGGTTAATCCCCTCAGTTGCTCTTCTTCAGCCACATCCTGGTTGCTCAGCACAGTTCATTCCTGCATGGGCCACATGAGATTCATTCCAAGGGTCTCCCCACAGCTGAACTGTACCGCAGGGAAATTGCTGCAAGCAGGTGCTTGTAGGTATAAACCCTGCTTGTGTCTTGGACACTTAATGTGCTGCCTGATGAAGGGAGACAATCATCACTGTGTGCTCTTTGATTTAAGCAGGTTTTGTCATGGAGCAGGGAGCGTGGCCGAGGCTCTGAATGGGGGCTGTGACCCGGCTGCCCCCGCTCAGCTCTGTGGCCTTTCTGTTCCACAGGTCTGTGACAATGTGGCCAAGTCTGTGCACAGCAAGCTCCAGACATACCTCCAGACCCTGCCAGGTACTGGGGGACTGCAAATGGGTTTAGGAGAAGCTCTTCTTAGCTTTTCCCAGTCATGAGAAATGTTTTACTTTGTGTCCGCTCCCCATCTCCTGGTGTTCCAGGGCCCAAGCTCAGAGCTGTGGAGCACCTTCTCAGCAGATACAAATCATTGTGTCCTGTCTGGCTGTGGAGATACCTTCGGGATCTCCTGTGGAGATCTCCTTGTGCCCAAGGACTGGTGGAGGCTTGGGCTGCCTTAGCCAGGGGATCCAGGCCATTCCTCAGATCCATGAGATGTCTATGAAAAAGCCAGGAAAAAAATGGGGACTTTTGCTTCTTAGCAGAAGCAAGCAGAGGGGCAGTTGGTAATGAGCCGATGCACCATGCAGCCCAGGCATGGCACTGCCCAGATGCCACTAGAGGCTGTCTGCTGCCAGCTTTCTGAACCATGTCATTCTTACTCATCTCTCTTTCTTGTGTTTACAGTCACAGCCAAGATAGATGGCAAGACTGGGATTGATTACTCCTTGGTGGCATCCCCAAGAGCTACTGCCAAGTCCCTGGATGTGTACCTGAAGGTGAGAGGCAGCCCTGGGGACACTTGATTCTGCCAATGACATTGCCACAGGCAGGTGGGAACCAAGGTTTTGGTAATTGCTGCAAATGCTGTTTGCCAGCCTGAGTCAGCAGGTGAGCCCCCACTGCTGTTTGCACCCTTTCTCCACATCTCTCCTTCCTCCCAGGGTGAATTCTACTCCCTGGCCCACCGCTCCACTGTCCCCTTCCCACCACTGCCACTGGCCTTCCCCTCGGATCACGACCGCATGGTTTACTTTGGAGCCTCCAGCTACTTCTTCAACACAGCTGGCATTGCCTACCACGAGGCTGGGGTACTGGTCTTTGAAATCACAGAGGACATGGTGAGTGGCACGAGTGGGACAGGGCTTGGAAAGAGGTTCCATTTGGTGAGATGCCCCAGGAGCACTGTTGGAGAAGCCCTAGTGAGAGAGCTGGGGGCTGTGGGATGGGGCTGGGCTGTTGGACATGGCAGCATTTGAGGATGGGAGGGCTTGCTATGGGCTTCTCTGTGCCACATTGCCCCAGTGTGACAGTCCTCTCTTGTAGATCCGAAAGGATGCAGTATTCAGATTGGACACCTCTCTCTTCTCAGCCTTCATTCCCCAGGTGAGCAGTCTGGCCCTGCCTGCCCAGAGCTCCTGCACACACAGGTTTTGCTCTGTGCCAAGAGTTCTCCCTCATGACCAAGGGTTTGTGCCATCATTCCCATTCTCTCCCTACTCCCACACAGCTGGAGGAGATGTACCCGAACATGCCAATGAAATTCATGCTGTCCACTCCCACTGCTCCATTCCTGACTATTGGACCAGGAGGAATCTCGTTCCAGCCCGTTGTGGATGCCCAGGCTTATGTCATCCTTCCCAACTCCAGCCTGGCTCCCCTCTTCGTCCTCAGCCTGGTGAGTTCAGACACAGCCTGTCTCTGGGGCCAAGAAGGGAGTTTGAGCTGTGCCCAGTCGTGGTACCCAGATCCTGCCAGGGGAGGTGCTGGGTGCTGACCAGGTACAGTGGGAGTGTCCCCAAGGGACCAATTCCTGAGCTGACAAATGCCAGCTTTAATGCTGGATGCAAACGCCCCTGAATGGGCAGTGGTGTGTCTCATCTGGTCAGAGCCATTGCCCCAAGTGTCTGCTTTGGAGTGAGGTGGGATGAGCACTGCCAGAGCTCTGTGCTCTCTCTCCCCAGACAGGGAACGTGTCTGCTGTCATCAACGTGAGATCCGGCCGCATAGTTGGGAGCCTGGACGTGGGCAGGTACAGAGGGGAGCAGCCACTGACTGGGCAGGGAGTGGCTGGGGGTGTTTCTGTTTTGGGTGCCCAGGGACAGAGAGGGGGTGGGAATGTCTCAGGGATGTGGGCTTGGTGTGGAAGGAACAAGCTAGGGCTGGAGGGAGTGGGATCTGCATGGCCATCGATGGGTGGAACTGCTCCCTCTGTTGGGACACCCTCCACAGCATCACTTCTGTCCCTGTGCAGGATCAGGCTCTCTCTGAAGGATTCGGCTGTGGGCACTTTCCAGGTAAGCTCTCCTTGACCATGACCAGAGCCCTGAGCAGGGAGCTGGCAGCCTGCTGGTGCCAGGACAAGGGCTCATTCCTTGCTGCCTCCCAACATGGGACCCCGCATTGACCCTGCAGCCACCTCCTGCCTCAGCCTGCAATGCTGGGAAAGGATCCGTTGCTGCTCTCACCACAACGTTTCCTTCCCTGCCAAAGCTACTGGTCTCTGGCAAAGTGTGCGCCCTTCCCAGCTCCTTGTCTCTTTTTCTTTTCCTAATTATCCTCCAGTGCCTGCATATCTCCTGTCCTGCAGGCTAAAGTTTTTCTTCCCCCTCTCCCCACTCCCCAGGTTCGAATGATGCAGTCCTTAATGAATGTCTTGACTTCCAGTACCCTGCTCCCACGTCTCAATGGTGAGAACATACTGGAGGGAATGGGGTTGTTGGAGCACCCTCTACTCAGGTTGCTCCATTCAAGTGGTCCCAGCTCACTAATGAAATCCTCATTGCCAAGGCTGATCAGGCAATAGTGCATGCAGGAGGCAGCAGTGAAGCAGTGGGAGCCTCTTGCTGCTCTGACAGGCTCCCAGCAGCAAATGCAATGGAAAAAATGAGCCCTATGCATATCCTAATGCTTTCCAGACCCTTTACTCAAATCCCTGCTTCTCCTGCCTCGCCAGCAGCTCAGACCAGAGTGGGGCTGGTGGCTGGAGGGGGCTGTCGTGGCACTACACACAGCCCTGCCCCAGGAGCTTGGGAGGAGTTTCCTCTGCCTGCCCCAGGAGCAGAGGAGGAGAGGAAAGGGCTGGGGGGAGGAGGGGGCCATCTTCTCTGTGTGCTCTGTGATTCCTTGACTCCCGTTCCCACCCCAGTGCAGACACGTGTGTTGTCTTTTCCAGCCCGGTTAGATGAGGGTTGGCGTCTGCCAATGCCAAACGGGATTCAGCTCTCCAATATCCTTGTGAAGTACCACCAGGTGAGTGAGGGTGGAGCACCTGGTCCCAGCTGGGGCCCATCCTTCTGCCCTCAAATACTTGCTTAACAGCACAGCCTCCAAATCCAGTTTCCCCAAATGTGCTGGGAAGTGAAGGATGTGAGGTTGTTCTTCCCTGAGATCCCAGTGACCCAGCAGTAAACCAGAGCACACGTGCCAATCCATTCTCCCTTCAGGGATGTGGTGGGTGCTGGGCAATGCAGCTGCCAGGGCCCGTGGCAGCTCAGCACTTTGTCTCTTTCTCCCAGAATTTCCTGCTGCTTGGAGCAGACGTTCACTTCCAGACCCGAGGATGAAGATAAGGCGACGAGAGCTCTTCTGCACTAAATATGCTCCATTCACCACTTTGCCATTCTCTGCCCCTGATCCCAGCACCAAAGGTCACTGCTCCTGCCAGTGCCCCACACCACTGCCTTATCTTCCTGCTGGGGCCTTACCTGGTACTACCATGAGCTGGGGGTGCCCTGTCCCAAGCTACCTCCCCCTTCTTCCTGTGAGCAGCAATAAAGGTGCTGGTGCTCAGGCCTGAGTGTCAGTGTCACTGTCTGGGCTTGGGTCCACACAGGGCCTGGTGCGAGCTGGACTGGGATCACCTGGTTTGTCCATTTCCATGGCCATGGCAAGACACCATGGAACACCTGTGTCCTGCTGTCCCTTCACTGCAGCCTCGGGACAGTGTGGTTGGAAAGAGGACAGTGAAAAAGGCTCTGGGGGTGCTCATCAACAGCAGCTGAACATGAGCACCAGGTGTCCAAGAAGGCCAGGGACATCCTGGCCTAGATCAACCTGGGCTGTAACCAGTAGGGCAGCCATGCCATGGAAGGGATTGTCCCTCTGGTGTGGGTGAGGCACACACCTCACGTCCTTTGTCCAGTTCTGGGCCCCTCACTTCAAAATGGACATGGAGGTGCTGGAGCATGTCCAGAGAAGGGCAATGGAACTGGGAAAGGGGCTGGAGCACCAGGAGCCTCTGAGGGAGCTGGGGGGGCTCAGCCTTCAGAAAATAAGGCTCAAAGGGAATCTTCTCACCCTCACAACTCCCCAAAAGGAGGGTGCAGCCAGGTCGGGGATCAGGCTCCGCTTCCAGACAGCAAGCAACAGGACAAGAAGACATGCTGCACAAGGGGACTTTTAGGTTGGGTATTAGGAAAAATTCCTTCACAGGATAGGTCATTAGATCTTGGAATGGGCTGCCCAGGGAGGTGGTGGAGTCACCGTCACTGGGGGTGTTTAAGGGAAGACTGGACGTGGCAATCAGTGCCCTAGTCTAGTTGAAATACTGGTTCTGGACCACAGGCTGAACTCGATGATCTCGGAGGTCGTTTCCAACCCTAATTAATTCTGTAATTTTGTGATTCCTGCGGCGGCACCGCCCAGCAGCGGGGCGGGCCCGGAACGGCGGCGGGGCGGAACGTGGCGCCGAGGGGCGGAGGCAGCGGCGGGGCCGCATTCTCGGTGCACGGCGGGGCTGCTCCGTTCCTAGCCGGCCGGTCCGTCCGCCAAAGCGGCCCCTCGGCCACGGCCATGCTGCCTGGGACCCGAGCCCTGCGGGCGGCGGGGCTGCTCCGCCCGCCCAGGGCCTCCCCGCGCACCGGGGCCGCCCGCAGAGCGCGCTGCGGGCCGGGGCAGCGGCCAGCGGAGCGCGGCGTCGCGCTCCCCCCGGGGCCCGACCTGCGGCACTTCCTGAGGGCCGCTGCCGCGGGGCAGCCGGGGCCGTCGCCGGAGCTGCCGCCTGAGCCGGGCTCTATTCCCGGGGCCCCGCAAGGTCTGTGGGTCTTTGGGGCCAGAGCTGTTGAGGTCAGCCGAACCCCGCTGCTGTGGCCTCGCTGCCGGGTCAAGGGCAGCCGTAAGGCCGGTGCAGACAGTGGTTCTTCACAGCCTGACCAGAGTGGGGAAAATGGGTTGTTTGGGAGCTTTTGGGGCCCTGAGGGGATTTTGGCGCTAGAAGGAGTTTAGTCCTTGGCTGCAAAGTCCAGTGTGTTCTTCCACCATGGAGTTAGGCAGAGAGCAGGTTGCTCTGGCGCCTGCCCGCCGTGTATGCTGGGCTGCCAGTGGGGCTGTGGCAGCCCCTGTGGGGCTGTGGTGCCCTGGCGGGGATGATTTCCACTGCCATGAGCATTGTATCTCAGTAAGGATACAGCTGCTGCTGCTCTGCAGTCACGGCCCGACCCTGCTGCGTTGCAGAGCACGCATGTTTCCCAGAATTTGTCCTTTGGTTTATCCTTTGTGGGCTGCAGGTGCAGGCAGCTTTTGTGCTGCTTCCCTGACTCCAGTGGTGGCATTGAAGGCTTCTTCCCGCAGAGCAGGGGATGGGACAGGTTGTGAACAGGAGCTGGTCAGGCTCCAGCATCACACACCCTTTGTTGCAGTGTACTTGGAGACCTACGGCTGCCAGATGAATGTCAATGACACGGAGATCGCCTGGGCCATCCTGCAGAAGAATGGCTATGCCAGGACAAAGAAACTGGATGAGGTGAGGCAGCACCTTGGCAATTCTCCTGGAGTATGGCCCTCATGCCCTGGTTGTGCCTGCAAGTCCCAGCTTTTCTCTGGAGTGCACCCCTGTGGGATGTAATGAGTTTTGCAGTCTGAGTCCTGTGACGGAAACTACTTAACAAGTGTGGTAGAAAGCCATGGGTTGTCTTTATTCTTTAAACTACTGGGCTCTGTCTCAGTTGGAGAGGGATTGGACACAGCGGGATCCTCCTGTCTCATCTTTGAGTTTACTTTTACCATTTAGTGAAGACTCTGCTTGTCTTCTGTTTCTTTCTTGCAACTCTTTTTGTTGAAACCTGCCGTGTACTCAGGCAGGTCTTTTTCCCTGAGTTAAGTGAGTTTTATAGTCTACCTCTTCAGGTTACCTGGGCAGAGCATGAGAAGTTATTGTTTGGCTTTTATAGATTCTTCTCTTTTTGTTGCTTTCAATTTAGGCAGATGTGGTTCTTCTTGTCACCTGTTCCGTGAGGTAAGGAAATGTTTGTCACTGGTGTGGGACAGTTTTTAAGGAATTACCATTTGAAAACCAAGACAATATAGGTGTTGCATGAGGAAAGGCAGGTGTGAAACTGGCTGGTTTAGTTGAGGTTAAGGCTGGCTGTGATTTACGTTAGTTATGCTATGAATTATTTCTCTGGGTAGTGAGAGTGTAAGCTCTGTATATATGCCATGGGCAGTGAGAGACCTGTACAATTAATGATTTTATTTTCAAATGTTCTGTCTTCTCTTGAAGTGACTCTCGAGTACAATGTCTGTACTTAAAAATGTGAGAAATATGTTTAGGGGCAATTTGATATAAAGGGAACTTTGCTTTTACTGAATGCAGAAGATACCAAATGCTCATTGTCACTTGCAGGGTACCTTGTACTGTTGCCAAGACACTTTTTCTCCCCAAGAGCTTAGTCCCTAAGGTGTTTCTGCAATGGAGATGCTCTCAGACAAGCAAAGTGATAGCAGATAAGAAAGAGTCAAGACATAATCCCCACAGCACAAACGGCACTCTCAGGTGCCATTAGATTCCCTGCCTTTAGCTGCATTCTCCTCACAAAGCACTAGGGCCGCTTAAGGCTAGGGCTCTGCTCAAGAGCAGCAGTTGGAATAGGCAGTTTTGGTGTCTCCCCAGGGAAAAGGCAGAGCAGGCCATCTGGAACCGTCTGCAGCACCTCAAGGCCCTGAAGGCACGGCGGCCCCAGACTCGCGCTCCGCTCCGCATTGGGATCCTGGGTATGGCTGTGCTGCATTCCTGTATCCCACTGGCAGCACCCACCTCTCCCTGGGCTGAGAGCAGCTGGGAGGGGCTGCAGGGGAGTAACCAGGAGCAGGCACTGCCTCATGAGCACCCTTCTCCTTTGCTGGCAGGATGCATGGCCGAGAGGCTTAAGGAGGAGATTCTGCACAGGGAGAAGCTGGTTGATGTCGTGGCAGGCCCTGATGCCTACCGTGACCTTCCCCGGCTGCTGGCAGTGGCAGAGTCTGGCCAGCAAGCTGCCAATGTCCTGCTGTCCCTAGATGAGACTTACGCTGACATTCTCCCAGTCCAGACTAGTGCAGGTGGCACGACAGCGTTTGTGTGAGTACCTTTTCCCAGTGCTTATTTCTGTAGCTCTTGTTTTGGAATCTGCTGTGCAGAGCGGATGTGTCAGTGACAGCAGCTGTCCAAGAGATGCAGTGCCTGGCTGCACTGAGTCTCCCAGCGTGTGTGTGTGTTTGCTGCTGCTTTGCTGTGTGACTGAGCCCTGAGCTCTGGCTGTTGTGGACTTCTCTCCCTCCTTTGGGAATGCTGACTCTCAGCCTGATGCTGCATGCTGCACTGAGTAATTTCTGTGCCACTGTTCTTTCCTGAAGTCCACGCCTCTCTCATCCCCTGCCTTCTGTGGTGCCCTGCCCCAGGTTCTGCTATTTATTCTTCTAATCCTCCACACATTATAACTTCTGATTGTTTAGTTTTGATGATAACATTGTCAGATACGAAATCAGATTCTGCTCGGTGTGGCTGTGGCCTATGGAAGGACAGTATTGCTCTCTGCAGGAGTGGGATGTGGATCTCTGATCACGGCCAGGCTGCAGTGGCAGTCTGTGCCTCATTAATTCTTTCCAGCTTTCTTGGAAATGTGTGTGAAAAATCAGGAGGTGTTACCTCAGGACAAGCTGAATCCAGTGTGGATGGTCTGTGTGTGGAGCTGGCTGCAGGCAGCAGTACTGGGCTCATCCTGGGCAGGATGCAGCATGGATGGCTCTGCAGGAGTGGGGTGTGACCTGTGCTTTACCTCTCGGCAGGTCCATCATGAGGGGCTGTGACAACATGTGCAGTTACTGCATTGTGCCCTTCACCCGAGGCCGGGAAAGGAGCCGCCCCATCGCCTCCATCCTTCAGGAAGTGAGAATGCTCTCAGATCAGGTGAGACAGAGCCTCCTCCCACCTGTCCCGAACCATGTGAGGAAGGGTGATTCTGGTAACTGTTTTCAGTGATCCTTGTAACCAGTGCCACTGCCTTTATCTGCAGAGATGAGGTGGTGGTGGGGTTCTACCAGTGGCTTTTTGATTCCCCTTGTAATACTCCATGACAAACAGGGAGTGGAGGGCTTCTGTTGGAAACTCTATGGAGTAAAACCATGGCCATCCTGCCCAGGTTATATTTCTTTCTCTCTGTTTATTTTGTAGGGAGTGAAAGAAGTGACCCTCTTGGGTCAGAATGTCAACAGCTTTCGAGACCTGTCTGAGGTGCAGTTTCAGTCAGTGGCTGCCCCAGGCCTCAGCCGTGGCTTTAGCACAGTCTACAAAGCCAAACCGGGAGGTTTGCGTTTCTCACACCTG